AGGAGAGGAGAGGAGAGGAGAGGAGAGGAGAGGAGAGGAGAGGAGAGGAGAGGAGAGGAGAGGAGAGGAGAGGAGAGGAGAGGAGGGTGGTGTTCAAGAACTGTGTGGATGTGGCACTGAGGGACGTGGTCAGTGGACATGGTGGTCCCCACCATGTGCTGATGGTTGGATGAGATGATCTTAGCAGTCTTGTCCAACCTTAATGATTCTGTGATTCTATCTGCACATTGCATATAGGAGTTGTGCATTCCTATTTATCACAAGTGTGCATAAATACATGCATTGCAGCAGATGCAAGGACTGTTTCTGACTCACTAGATCTGCATCCATTGCCTTCCTATGGCCTCCTCAGTGGCCTGCAGCCTAAAGCTCATCCCAGGTGTACTTCTTCAAGGTCAACTCTCATGCAGCTGAGAACCAAAGTTATTGTCCATTCCATCACCACCTATGAGTGCCTTTTCCACGTTGCTCCAAGTTTCAAGCATCATCTCTCTCTGTGCATAATGCTGTGCTGCAGCAAATCCCCATTCTTCAGTATCAGTGTGCTCTTTAATTGGCTTAACTTCGACAATCACTTGACTAAAATCATTTGGCTTTCTTTGGAAAGAAAGCTGCAGACTGTAGCTAAAGTGAAACAAGAGGAATGCATACCTGAGGCTGCATGATACACCCATGATGTAGATATTTTTTAAAGCAGGGCAATACCTTGTAGATAGTTACCTCATTATATCAAAGCTGGTCACTTTGTAACCAGCCTTGTGTGCAACACCATCCTCTATAGGGTTCCAGATAATACGAAGCAATACAAGGCACCAAAGCTCATCAGTGTACCACATATATCATCGTGGCTCACAAAGCCACTCAGATGAATGTTATCTTGTGAAACCCAGAGATATATTGACTCGACTGCATGGCTATTGTAGAAAATCATTGCTGTTGGTGGAAGAAATGATTGATGGGCGAACATCTTGCCCAAGGTTAAACTGAGTGCAGTGTCTTTCCAAAAGAGGTCACTTTCTCAGTTCAGGAGACAGAAGTTTCGAGCATAAAGTAAAAAAAAAAAAATAATAAAAAAAATAATAAAAAAAAAATTTGTTAAAGGTATAACACTATTTCTTTTCTAAGCCAGCGGTGAGAGGTGATTGGCATTTTCCCAGTAGCAATCTGTATATCTAGCCTAGGTTGTTTTGAGCACTAAGATGTTGTTGCCCGGTGCTGCAGCACTTTTCTGCTGAGCTTGAGACTGCTGCATCATTACTGGAAGTTTGTACCTTCAAACGAGCACTCATGTTTATTGATACACCTGTGGTGCTGCTTTCTGGTGTTTGCCAGTTAAAAATGCAGTCACTGCTGCACACTGCTTTGAAACTGCGGTGTTTTCCAGGGTTCTCTCCACTAACAATGACATTACTCTCTTTAAACTGTCTTTTTCTTGGTTTGGAGGAACACTGGTCATCTCCTGCCTGCCTGCCTGGTCCTCAGAGCATTTTGCACACCCTGTGCCTTGCTGGGGATAAGCAAATAAGACTCCGTCTCATTTTTTATATGGTTCCACAATTCACTCTGTGTTGCTGAGCACTCTGTTTCATCTGTGTGACCTCTACATTTATGCTCACTGTTTTCTAAGCCCAGTGGCTTCTATCTGAAATGACACAGAAATCTCTCTGCCCTGAAGCATCACTGAGTTCTAAAGCATCTGCGTTCCTATATAACTATTGTACATTTGGGCTGAAATTAAGTACAGAGAGATCCATGAATAATAGAGGAACACCTCTGCTTTTGTATCTCGTCACAGCAGCTGTTGTGAGAACGATTACCTTCATTAAAATGCAAGAGATACCATCAGTATCACCATTCAAGGATATCCAGAAATTTCAAGTATAGAAAAAAAAATGTATATATAGAATTTAAAAGGTTGATTTCGATTTCTTTCCTTTGTTAGGCTTCATGTTTTCAATATTTTCAACACAAGTACGTTTTTAAATGCAGTGCAAGTTTATATAATCACAGGACCCTTGAAGCTGGATTTTCAAGGGGAAAAAAAAACCCACCAAGTATAATGAGACATGATAAAATAGTGAGACCTGGTGTCAGCATAGCTGAGCAGATAAGCAGGAGAGCTGTATGCAGACCAGGGACTGAAGGAGCCGACACTTCATCTTCTGCAGAGAAGAACCATGAAGATTCTAATGATCCACTGAAACAACTGGTGGGATCCAGAACATGGCAGCACTGAACTGTGCTCCCGACGTACAGAGAGGTGTCACATGGATGCCCCATCCCTGGAGGCATTCAGAACCAGGCTGGATGTGGCTCTGAGCAGCCTGGTCTGGTGGTTGGCGACCCTGCACATAGCAGGGGGATTGGAACTAGATGATCATTGTGGTCCTTTTCAATCCAGGCCATTCTATGATTCTATGATTCTCACTTAATGAGTATTTCACAAAAAGTCCAGACCATACTGCTCTGGTAGCTGGCTGTAGGGTGGAGGTGCTTGGCACTCTGAGCTGTTCCTGCTCCCTGTTCCAAGAAAACCACAGGACTTGTGTTTTATTTCCAAACAGAAGGAAGAACATTGAATTCAGGAGCCAGCTATGCCCCGAACATTTGAAGTTTCACAGTACTTCTTCTCCTGCTCCAGAGCCCTCCTGATAGTGATGGGATTCAAGTTCTGTCTGACACCCTCTTGCTTTAAGGGAAGTCTATTTGTCATCACAAGTTCTACTGACCTTGATGCACAGTCTGTGACTGATAGGAACAAGAGAATTTCATCCATCACATTTTGCCTGGTAGCAGCATTACTTTGGTCCATATTATAAATAAACAGCAGTGTTAATGTTTTTTCCTTACCTTGAAGTGATACAAAAAACTCTATGAAGTCCTTTTATCCTTCCACTGCCTCCAGTGCATTTTCACAAGTATATAGCAAATCTCCAAGTTGAGTCTAGCAGGAAAGGAGAGGTATGGCAATCCACTAATACTTCTTTTGGTACAAGACATCAGTTTCTTTCAAATCACTCTTTCTTTCACTGCTGTCTCTAAGGGCTCTTCTTTTAACATTTCTTTAATGTTTCAAAACTTTTTTCTGAACTCGTATTTCTGAGCTATTTTTGACTTGAGTTTGTTCCCTTCCTTTATGGTATACATCCAGAATGTGTGCATACTGCCTCAAAAAAAAAAAAAAAAAAAAAAAAAAAAGGCTGCAAATGATGAAAATGTGAAGTCTTAAACGTCTTATTTTCAGCAGCTTGGCTTTAGCATCCCCCTCTCTACATGTCATAATTCACTTAATGGTTTATGCACACTTTTGCTATTTCGCCCAAGCTCTAGACTTATATATGAGGTGGCTGCTGCTGCCTGCCGTGGTCTTCCAGTTCTCTTATGTCCCCAACCAAAACCTCACCTAGAAATCATTATCTCCCCCCTCTTGCTTCACCAGAAATCTTCATCCCATTCTTCCACCTGGCTCTCTCCTTTCCTGCCAGCACTGCCCCTTTCTACTTTTTGGAGCCAATCCGGTGTTTACTAAACTTGTGAGACTGTATTCAGGTTTGCTATTGCTGAGTAAGTTGTCATAGAACCATAGGATATCCAAGTCAGAAGGAATCCACAAGGGATCCAGCTCCTGGCCCCACACAGGACAGCTCAACTTTCAAACCTTACATCTGGAAGAGATATCCAAACTCTCCTTGAACTCCAGCAGCTCAGAGCTGTGCCCACAGCCCTGTGCACCCCGTTCCACGCCCACTGTGCTGTGATCCAGCCCCTTTCCCTGACCCTGACTGGGAAGTTGTGATGTTCTAGATGGCCAAGCAAGGAAGCTATGTCCAGAAGTGGGAATGGAGTGAAACAGGTGAAACTAACCTTCTCCATTTTGCCAGAGGGGGCTATGTTGTTCACTCCACCCCAAGGAACCGCCATGATGTGGGCCCTGTTCACAGCCAGCAAGCACCAGCCCAGGGGCCA